ACAACCTCATCATGGCTTTAAGACTAAACTTGGTTTCGTGATTCCAAGTCACAGGAATTTCCACCATTTTTAGATGGAATTATAAATCAAGAAATTGTAAGTTGAGAGAGGAGAGAGAGAGAGAGTGCTCAAAGAAGACAGAAAAATAAAATTTGCTAATTGATATAATTTTGTTTTGAAACAAATTAGAGCAAAAAAAATTAATCACCTAAGAGCTATGTCATTTTGCTAGATGCTAGGGAGAATATAATTTAGTAAGAAAACTGTGTTTTGTTTCAAGGTTCCAAACCATTTGAAGAAACAAGGAATTCCAAACTCAGACATGTAAGAGCAAGTAGTACTAAGTACAAAACTATAAGTGAAATCACAAAATAATACTGGTCAGTGTGGTGTAAACTGTGGCACTGTGCTTTGAAGGGAGAATTGTGACTCTGAACCAAGATTGTACAATAATACAAGGATGGATAGGGGTTGGGCAGACTGAGGGAGGGTGCATGACATGATAGGCAAATGTATAAGGGCTGGAGAGACTAAGCTATCTGCAGTTAGAACTGTGCACAGGGGGCAGTGGTAGAAAATTCTGGAGAGGTAAGTTAGGAAAAATTTTGAAAGTCCTCTATCTTATATGACATTCTTCAGAGAAACAAATCACTAGAATATATAAATACATATAAAAAGATCTGTTAAAAGAAATTGGCTCACACAATCATGGAGGCTGAGAAGTCTGAGATTCTGCCATGGGCAAGCTGGAGACACAGGAGAACTAGTGATGTAGTTTCAGTTCAAGGCTGAAAGCTGGAGAACCAGGAACCCAGTAAGATGAATTCCAGTTTGAAAGCAGACTGATGTTCTAGCTCCAACAGCCAGGCAGAGGATGATTCTTCTGTTATCTTGTTCTACCTAGAACCTCACTGAATTGGGTGGTGCCCACCCACATTGGGGGAAATATGCTTTATTCAGTCTACTAATTCAAACACTAATCTCTTCTGCAAATACCCTCACAGACACACCAAGATATAATATTTAACTAAATATCTAGGGATCCTGTGACCCTGTTAAGTTCCCATAAAATTAATCATCACAACCTCCAATGGAAAGTCAAGGTTCAGACTGATTTGCAGGTGTCATGAATCCATAATATAGTTTATATGCTGGGGAAGTTGGCATGAATATGAAAATTGTATTTTGGGACAATGAATCTGACAGTGATTTGCATAATAAAATACAGTAGAGACCAATATAGAGCAGATATATGAGTCTTCACACGTAGGTAATATCCAAACTCGAGAGTTTAAGAAAGTATGGAGAAGCAAGTTAGTGGTAAAAAATAATTCTTAAAATTTAAATGTTTTAATTGTATTATTTGTTGTATTAAGTTTCATTTAATTCTCACAAAATCTTTGCCTGGATTGAACATTGAAGTCCAAGATAAACTGGATTCAGGTTAAGTGACTTAACTGGAGTCATGATCCCTAGATTGAAAGCCATAGTTGTGTACACAACTTGTGTTCTTTCCACATACCACCTACCTCTCTTGGCCAAATGAGTAAATACATTCAGTAAGTGCATATCATGTAAACAACTGAAAATATAAGTATAATTCGTTATACTCTACATTTTACAATTGTCTGATGAATTTCATAAAGTTAAAAGGGAGAAAAACAAATGTATATTTACTTTATCCCCATTTATAAGCAAAACTCAAATAACTAGGATCCCCAAAATGACCAAATGAGCTCAAAGAACCACTATTTTTTATTGAATGAAATCACCAAAATTTTTTTAATTGATTGCTCAAAACATTACAGAGCTCATGATATATCATCTTTCATACATTTGACTCAATTGGGTTTTGAACTCCCATTTCTACCCCAAATACAGATTGCAGAATCACATCTGTTACATACTCACATTTTTACATAATGGCATATTAGTGACTGTTGTATTCTGCTACCTTTCCTATCCCCTACTATCCCCCCTTC